GTTTGCTGCAGTGAACATTTAACATGATTGCTACTGGAGGACTTATCAAGCCACCTCTATTTATTGAAATTTACTTTCCAAAGGTATTAAATGTACACTTCTGCAGAATAATATATGCCTCATATAGGGAAATTCTTTGGACTACTCTACTTTTTGTATCCTATAAAGTAACCAGAAACGGTGATCGTGATGTAACTCAAAACAAAGCAGACGGCCTTCGAACTTTCGACGTACGCTTCTGTCATTTGTACGATGTTATTTCTATACGTCCGCGGAACCCATTATTTTGATAAGCAAGCCTCTATTATAATCAGAATATTTATTTTCAGCGAACCCAAATAATTTACAACGAGAATAAACACAGAAAAACTTGCTTATCTAAATACGCTATAGTGAGGCAGTGTGCCAATAAAGGAGCATAGGCATTTCGCAGAATGCAGTACAAGAGGGTTGGTATTCTTCATATTCTCCAGCCATTGTCCGTTTACTTATTTCAAACAGGGAAACCTTGCTACAGCAAGCTATTTTTGCTGAGTTACAATAATACAATGGAACCTCAATGAACCTCATGTGAAACGCTCATATTGTGAAACGTATCCTATTAAACTGCACCAGTTCACTGGTTGGCTGCAAGCGACCGAGGACCCCCGCCCTGGGAACAAGACTCAACGGCAGACACAGTGCACACCCACACACGCACTGACAGCTCGATAGCTGAGCGGATGTTCATCAATGGAAACATATTTTCTGTCCGTAGCTGGCTCGCTACCTAAAACACTCGTAGATAGGGCGGCTCGTCATCCGAGGCTCCACTGTATAACGAATGTGCTTAGTATTGTAAATTTGTATAGTATACTTTTTATTGTTTATTGGAAATATAATTGATATCTTTTGAGCGTCCTGGATCTTCTATCGGCTAACTGTTTAAATGATGGGGCCAAGCTTATGGGTATCGAGAATTTGAAGGCTATAATAGTTAGTTTAATGGGACCAGTCCGTTATAATCGAAAAATGGCCATAGACAGTGTCCAAGATTTTCTAAAGTATCACTAAAAACAAAGCAACTTTATGCCAATAATCTTTCTGAAAATTGTCTTCCTCAAACAGTAGCTTAAATTTTCTCCTTAAATAGATGGGAACGCGCAGAGGGTGGTGTGAGGAAATGCCTTCAGAAATATCTTTTTGGAATGCGGTAATGGCCACTTGCTATGTTTGTTCAACCCAAAGAAGGTCAAACTGTATAATAAAACATTTGTTCACGCAACTTGTTCTGTACTGTATACCCAGTAACTCAAAGGCTGATCGCACATTGGTACCTTAAAACGCATTGGGCTAAGTAAAAAAGCTCACGGAATAAAAATAAAGAAAGTAAAATTACCGTGTGATATCTAGCTGTAGGTTTCGTTCTCTTCCATATGGAAGACGAACAGTGAAATGAGTTACAATTCAATGCTTAGATATAGCTGAAAGTGAGATCAACGCTATTTCTCTAGTCAAATCATGTTAGCCAAACTCTAGTTTTCTGTGGAAAATATAAAGTGAATTTTCCGGAAAACATAGTTTAACTTTCGAATAGAAAAATTATCGATATAACGTAGTTATAATGTGAAGAAGGTCTGTCGATTGGCAAAAAAGCTGAAAGTAGCCAACAAAATACAATCGATATTTAAATATGTTCAATGGCTTTCAAAAGGCTTGATTAGGAGAGCAAGCATGTGAAATCAGATAGCCGCGTAGGACTGCCTGTGTTACTAATGTCGATTTCGGTGACTGACGAGCACGGCTGCCTCGTAAGTGTTGCAATGGCAGTCACTGGCACAGAAGACAACCCACTCTGCAAGATTCCGAGAGGCAGCCGCATACTCTGATGAGAAACAACGGTGCACTGGGTGACGTGTAGCTATGGAATTAGGAACTGAAGTAGTGATGACTAACCTACACATGCATTGCACAGTACAGCTGACGAGATAATAACTGAGAAGCTACTGTTACGCGTTCCAGGGCCAGATAAAAAAGACTGACCCAGTTACGCAACTAAAAGCAACTTAGTAGTACAACAAGGCATCAGGCTTGTTGACATATGCAACTATGAAATAAAATCAGTAATTAAACAGCACAAAATTTGGGAAGTGATTTATCATAGGCTGGTTGTTCTTTAAATTTTCGGAAGCTTACGTCTCAAAGGTGGCATTATAATCAATTTCAGGATTAAAAAACCCGTATTAGTTGGCATGATGACTCGTCCTATCGAGCAGTTAGGAACATTGCTTGAATACCTTGCAATGTAATGTACCGCAGTGCATAAAATGAAAAAGGCAGTCACCAAAGCATTTGAAGTAAATGGCCGTGAAAGGTCACTTAACACCAACTTTAAAATTCAAAAGGTAAAATGTGAAATCTTTTAGAGAACACTAGCAGATGGTTGTGTATTCGTTATGTGTGCGAGAGGCAAGTTTTAGAAGATAATATGACGTAAAAGAACTTGTGTGAATGTGCATCTGACCAGTAGCACGGATTCATTTAACTGACTTAAATATGTTTCCTACAGCATTTTCAACTCTCACTGTACGGGTGTAAACATAGTCAGAAACTAGAACGTTTTCACCTATGAGAGAAAACAGTAAGCTGGGTTTCAATCGAAAACGAATGCAAGCAACAAAGTTGAATACTGTGGCGCTGTTTCGAGATTTAACATGTAGCAATTTGACTGTCAGGTGTCCGCTTTATAAAAACGAAGTTGATTAGTAAACGGGCAATAGCAAGCCATGTATTGCTCATTCCCCAACTGGTTGTTATGAATTTCTAACATTGTGCAGTTTGCAAAATTAAGTCTATGCACCGTGCAAGTTATTGGGTGAAAGCCTTATGCAGAATAAGTGGCTCTTAATCACAAAAGCTTAGCTAACAAACGTTTGGACGGTTTTTCGTGGTAAACTTAACAACTGTGACAAACTTCATTGACTTGCAAACGTGCGATCAATAAAGGAAAATTCTCTTTTAAAGACGTTTAGGTGATGGGCAACAGAAGTTTAGGGTACGTAACATCTTACATGTGTTTATGGCAAAAGCCGCAAAAGTATTGTAACAAGTTTGAAAGTAAAAGAAATATGAAGCATAATTAAGACAATCTGCCTAAAGCAGACAAAGCGAAATAAAAGGAACAGATCAATTGGCTCTACACTTTTTTTACGATGGCCGGCTTCAAGATGGTGCAAATGGTTTTGTAATGGACAACAAATCAACCGTTCTACCTGACCAGGAGACTTTCACTGTGTTCACTTGTTCATGTCTTTGCCCTGTTGGTGTGCAACAGTTCATTTATATTAAAAGTTCATTTTCGTTCATGGCGGCCAAAATGAAATCTAAATTCCGGAATATACAACAATTCTGCCATATGCCAATACAAGCGAACTACTTCTTCTCAATTCTGTCATACTTAACTTCCCTGTACGCTATTGTTGTGTAGCCTAAGATGAAAATTTCATCCAATGAAAACATCACCGTATCTGAAATAGACCAACATACGAATACGGTTACTGGTCTTGCCGGATATCTAGGGGTATGCTGTAATCCTAGTTGGTCAGAAGTAGTGCTAGAAATATCAAATAGTGTTTAAAATGGATAGTCTGTGTCTCCCAAGATATAATCTTCCGCAGTCAGCAGCATTAAATTTTCCGGATTAATTTTTAGAGCTTGCGAATAAAAGTAAGGTTCAGTAATTTACTGATAGCCAAAGATGACCAGGATTCAAAAGGTCAGGCCAAAGCGTAATGTTTTTTGAATATAAACCTGTGTCAATAAACGCGCAAAGTTGGTCTTTTGCGAAGTTCAATAATTAATTTTACCCATTTGTTAAAAAATCGACGACAGATTTCAAAAGGTCAGGCGAATACAAATATTATCCCAGCGATCACATCTTATTTTCATTTCATTTCCTCCTTGACAGTATTGCAATTTATTGTATCGCTTTTTCTTATCTTCAGCTTACGTATTTAGGGATGTATTGTAGAAGTCAGACTGAGTTGAACGAACTTATTACTAAAAGCGATTTCATCAAGCACTGGCTTAACATGTTTTATAAAATACCTTACATAGAGTAGTTCGTCCCTGTGCCTAATGAAAATTGAAACTTTGATTTCGAAATCTACCAACATTTGAATACGGCCTTTTATGGTATTCAATAATTACTTTGACCCACTTACTAAAAACTCGACAGCAGCGGTGAGATTCAAACCCACATCAGTAAGGGCAAGGCTTCATTAAAGTCAAGGCTGTAGCAAACCGAGCTAAGAAGCCCCACTGGGAGCAATGAGTTTAATCGCACTTCAGTCGATTTACCCATTTGGCAAACTGCAACATATGGAATCCGCCAATTCCGATTGAGCAAGCTTATTGTCTAATTAGGATTTCTAAAGCATGCTTTATTGCAATTAGTTGCATGGTTGATTGCAATCAACCTAGAACCCACCAGTTGACTAGCAGGCGCACTTAATTAATAAGGGCTTTGGCAAATATTAATAATTTATTTGACCTTACTGCGAGGAACTACCAAGAAACAACAAATATATGGTTTCATCAATTTAGTAATTCAGCTAGTGTATGCTTGCTCAAATCGTTTTTATCTAAAGGATTAATTGAAATGCTTTTGAGGGTTGAATGACAAAGGTATCAATAGACAGATCTTCTATTTAGCGCTAGAATTGGGAAGTGTTAAGTGCGCATGATAATCTCCTGTATATCTTACAAAACTGAGGCTGGAAAATAAAATCTACAAGTTAGCTGCATTAGGAATTCGTAGGTCAACTAAACAGGTATCACTGGTTGACAAATTTAGGATTTGGCAACAATGCTTCATATTCAGAAACCACTCTTGGTAACTTGAACGCAAAAAATTCGCTAGTAGTTAATATCTAGTGAGTATAAAAGACTAACAATTTTCTGATGGTGCTTCCGTCAGTTATGTTTTAATACATCCCATCTGACTTGACTTATTTTTAAAGCATAGAGATATGGCTGGCTTCAGCTTCGACAGACCGTCAAGCAGCCAATGACATGAGGCACGTAAGTACAGGACCATCCCAAGTAGGACGTCAAAATTATTTTAAATATCAAAAGGCTGTTGGGTAACTAGGTAACATCAGTCATGGCTGCTAGTGTCAGCATTGTCGATGTGATAAAATTTGTTTTCTTTAGATGAATTATATCAGCATTCATCACAACCAGACGTTTTTCTGTCCATTTTCCCAGTCTCTTTCTTTCTTACTGCAATAGGTTTTGACCGGGTTAGTCATGACGTTGTCATAAGTCATTGCCAATCGACCAGTAAGTAGTTAACCATTTGGGTATATGGATTGAACTCTCGACCTGATGAGTACGCGGACCCTGCTTTCGAAAGTGTTCATATATTTAAGGCTACGCATTAGTGTTGTGTGCACGAAATGTTTTTTTTTCGAAACAATAACGTCTGGGCAGAAAATGCACAAAAACATAAAAATAAGGAAGAGTCCATTTCAGTGGCAAAAAGGTTTCGAATACTATGATAATAGACCAGTGGCAAGGGGCTTGCTGTCAGCGAAACCAGCAAATAATTCGATCTGAGACGGGAATGACACAAGTTAAGGAGATGACAAGTAAGCTGCATCTTAAATTACCTGTGTGTTACACTGTGGACATACGCATATCCATCTAAAGTAAACTTCTTAATATGTATATATTTACTGAATCATTCGAACAGAACGAGTCTGCATGCTCACTCCTTCCGTGACATTTTTCATTCGACATCCAAACCTTGAACTTCAAATAATGAAAGCACCCTTTGATTGAGAAATGATATGGATACCAGGCTGCCGACAACAGTTCACTAAGCCGCCATATATTTGTATGTTAAACCATGAAGGACAAACCTTTTATTTAAATCTGTTACCTTTTATTTAAATCTGTTACCCTTTGCCAAGTGGCTTCTATCACTGACTTCTTAATAATAATAATAATA